TATAGCTGTTACAGCAGCATTACTTGGTCTTAATGATGTATAGTACAAGTTTTATGGGCTGGATGCAGTGTATCAAATCGCATTTAATCAGAAAAACTACAGCAAAAAAAGGAGTATGCAGGTATAGTGGAACAAGACTGCATTGGTTTAGAGTCCAAAGCATTTCAGAAATGAGTTCTGGCATCACTAGTATCAGCCCCCGGGCACTGAGGAGTGTTGCTTAACTTCCATTAAAAAAATAGTCAAACACATCGACCTGGAATATCTGTGAAAATGAAATACTTGATCAAAGCAGGTGCTTTCCTATCTAGTCCTAGGCTGGAACTACAGGGAACTAGAATTTCTTGACCACACAGCAGCACCTTGGGTCTGGAAGCAGTGTAATAGCCCTGGGGCAACATTACATGTAATGAGCCAGGCATCAATAATAAAGAATTTTAATTGTCCCTTTAATTTGAAAGGCTATTCTAGAACCTCTTGCATCTGAGATACTGATTTCCATCTAATATTTCATCTAATATTCTGATTGCCAGTGCTTCCAAACCTGTGTACTTCCACTTAGAGCAAAGAGAGTTATTATGACCAGAAATAGTATCAGTCCTGAAGAAACTCTCCTTGTAATCTCCCTCCAGGCTCAAGGAGTGATTTGAACAATACATAACTATTATAGACACTGCCTTTTATTTTTTTGTCATTAGATACTGCTCTATAGCAAATTCTGTAACTAAACTCCAGTTGGGAGATCTACCTATTTTCCATTTTCTAGAAGATCAGGTATCTTATCAAGGGAAAAATATTTATTTCTATTTCATCCCAATTTTTATTTATCTTCAAGCTCTTAATAATTCTTTTCTTTAACAAATCTTTCAAAATAATATTGCAAATCATTGCATACTAGTGAATTCAGACTAAAAGGCCTAACATACTAGATGACTATTTTAACCCATTTTTTCCATCCATTTCACTAAAAATGCCATCCTTGCCAATCCATCAGTCCACAGCGTCTGTTTTCTAGTTTGAAAGCTTTGTTATAAATTTTTGCTATTTGGCCTTATTTTCAGTTTTAGTTCAGTCACAGATCAGGGATGGGATAGAGATTACTTAGCACCCTAAATTAGCTACGTGAAGCTCAATGAATTTTGCTATCTATTGTGATAGCAATACTTTCTTCCTTCATATCCCAGTTCCCACGAGAGCCTTTTCCCTTCTCCAATGTCAAATATAATAATTGTCACTGAATACTGAAGCTAATTATACTCAGTTTAAGAGCCATACCTAGTTACCTTTTGTTCCTACTGCATCCTGTCTGCATAATAATTATAACTGGTTTTCTTCTGTATTTATTTCAATGTCTTTTTCTTTTTTTCTTTTTTTTTTTTTAAATGTATATATAAGTGTATATATAGGTAAAAAAAAAAAAAAAACCCTTGGCTTTTGGCAGTTTTTCAAATCTTTACTACACCTGTCTCTATTTTTGTATTAACATGTATGTGGAAAAAAAAATCATATTTTCAACAGGTAGGGATAAGACTAAGCAAATTTCTGTCAATACAGGTGCCAATACACTCAAATAACTATTTAAACACCAAAAACAAAATCTGAAAACACAAATAGTAAATATTTCCACTTTGTTAAAAACAAATACTGAGAAAGTAACCCGAACCTGACATCATTAAAACTGCGTAGGAAGGAAGCTGCATTTTTTTACTCTATTATATCTTCTCCCTTTTGATGAGGTTTAGTTTATTATTTGATTTCTGGGTAAAATAGACTAACAGAGTGTCAATGCTTTTGTTACTCTCAGCCTGCTCACATGACTAACAAGTTTATGTTAAAATTCCTTTCTGATGCCTTCTCTGGCTCCAGGCTTTTATGGAAAAAATACTTTACCCTATTAGTAAACCAACCCTAAAATGCCAAAAAAGATGGCTCTTATAAGCTCCCAGGCAATTCTGAGTGAAACAGACCCCTTTCAGAAGATCTGTGCATTTCTAATTCTTATCAGAGGTAAAGTCGGATCCTACTCGCTTGGGTGGTTCCTTGCTGCTTGATCAATGTTCATCTCATTATGCCCAGCATTAGCTCTCAGGATTAGCTGATAGTCAATGGTATGCGAGGCTTGACACGGAAGAGAAAAAAACCTATTAAATTTCATCTTGTGGTTATCCCCTGAGAACAACAACAAAATAATTTACCCCCTTATTAAGGAGGTTATTGAGGGCAGTTATCTGCATTTAACTACTGTCTGCCTCTTGTGCATGGATATTACCTATTAGTGCACCATGTTTTAATGCACTATTAGCCTAAAACCAATATTTGGGGACCTATTATATTGGCAGTTTAGTTTTCCTAACTGTATTCCTGTGAGAAAAAGTAGCAAGAGAAATATGAAGATTAAATTATTAAGATATAATTAATTTTCCTGATTCTAAGGCATGATTCTTTTATGCTGCTTATCCCAGTTAATGAAAGTCAAATTTAATTAGTTTTTGGGATTTGACACAAAAGGGCTTACCAGCTTTCACAAAGAACTGTAGAAAAACATTTTCTGAAAGAAAACCTCACTAGCTATTATCTAAAATGTAAGACAGGAGAAAGATGTGACCAAAGTGGTTGGGCACAAGAGGAAGGAACTCTTTTAAATCTCAACTGAATTTTATTTTTGCACAATGCATCTTTAATAGGAAATATTACAGAAGTTTCTCTGTGTGAAGACCTCAGAATCTGGCCATAGAACAACAAGCGGCTGAAGGAAAGCTTAGATATGTCAAGGTAATATGAATCTGACTTTCTTTTTAGCTCCCTGTCCAGAATAGATTGAGCTAAAATCCCAGGACCTTTGGGGCAAATGCTATGAGCCTTGTTGGTATCAAAACCTTAGTCCAAATTTTATAGTTCAGTTTCATTGCCAGTAATCAAGGTGTTCAAAATTCCATTTTTTAAATAAAGTAGTGAATTGTTTTACACATCCAAGGTTATGAATAGTTTTCCAGCATCTTTTTTTTTAAGAATTATTTAAATATACTGATATCTTACTTTGAGCTTTATTACTTGACCAAAAATATATATTCCAACATGAAAAAAAAGGATAATTTATATTTATTTATATTTTTTATAGTTCTTTCAAATTACAAGGTTAAAAAGGGTCTGCAGACTACCTTCTAGAAAGATCATACCAAAAACCCAATAAATCTCTGTGCTAATAGTAGCTGTCATGATTTTTTAAATATTGAAATGACCCGAGAGTTTTAAAAAAGGAATGTCAATGAAACCTAACTAATATATAGGAGCACATATGTACAAAAACTTGCAGAACACAATATGAACTGAATATATTAAGAATAAAATTGCTTACACATAAGTTCATGCTGCTTCATCAGGCAACAAGGGTTTCCATTTCATCATTTTTTTTTTGATAAAAAGTTTGGGTTAAGTTCCTTATTAATGAGAGGGAAGAAAGTTGATGGGAAAATTCAGTAGAATTCTCACTAATTAATTCCACCTCGGACAAAGGAGCTGAAGAAATGGTGGTGGTGGAAAACATTAAGCACCAATGAGCATCATGGCAATGAACAAAGCAAAAAGAGGAGATAACATGACGTGATTTTAACTTTAGTGAAATTAATCCTGAAGACATAGGATTATCTGTTTTACCATACGTTTGCACTCTATTATTGTTATTTAATTATTAGAAATAAGTTGTCAAAGCAGTGTCTCCACATTCTTTTGAGTGACACAAGTTCCTCTCTCTTAACTCAAATTTTTGGGCCCCTGAAAAAAGAAAAGCTTGTTGTGTTTCCACTTTGATTTCTGCTGAAATCCTTTTGATTAGAGATCATACCACCTTGGCGGTTACCACTAATAAATGCCTTTACAACTACTTTCACCAAAGGATTGACAGGAGTCTTGGTAGGGGGTAGGGATTTTTAAGATAAAATTCCAAAGAGTAGCATCCTCTGGAAGACCCCAAACCATCACATTACCTTAAAATATTTAGTGAAATAATGAAACACAATCATTTACTTCCTGCACCCCTCATACAGTGGTCAAACTCATCCACACAGGCAGCTTCCTGCATAATTTCTACAACATCATTACTGGCTGATGATCCTAAATGCCTTTGCAAATATAAGGAATTTACACTTTTCTGTAGCAATTCATTGTAAACACTGCTGGGTAGGTAAAGGGATAGATATATAATACTTAGGAATCATAGTAAAATTAATACAAAATCTATACTGTTTCTCACCAGTTCTGTGGAGAGAAACACAAGGAAAGACCTTTGATTTTCTGTAACTGTCATATATTCTCATTAATCATCCATATAAATTATATATCAGTACTTGGCAATGCACATATATACACTTCAAGAAAAAGCTTTCACTATAGACCTTTCTAAATTTTCTCTTTCTCAGTCTATAGACACTTCAGTAAGTTTCAGACTTGATCTTTTACTATTTCTTTATTTCTCCACTTTTGAATATATGTACAGAAAACTTTGGATTTTTTACATTTACAAATGTAGCCTCACTTGGTAATGAATTTTTGAAGAGTGTGTGTGTAGCATTCAAAAAGCCCGACATCCCAAAAATACCACTAGAAGAAAAAAATCTGGGACTGTTTACTTTAACTTGATTTATGTATTATGTAATTGCTCAAAAAAAAATCAAAATCTAGGTCTGATACTATTACACAGTACTGTACTCAATTGACCTTAAAATTGCCTGACTATTCCAATCTCTGGGGAAAGTATGCTTCTCAAGGATTCTGCTACAGGACGCAAGTCGTTTATAAAAAGTAATGTATTTTACATTTTGTGTGATAAAAGTTTGTGGATTTTTTTTGACTAGTTAGAGTAAACTGGAGTCTACCAATATTTGGGATATTTATGTGTCATCGAGTAGGCAGTATATATTACTATACAAATACTTGCTTTTAATCAAGACTTAACTATTTTTGAGAATACTTGATTTTAAAACAACTTTTTGAACAACACCTACTTGAGGTCTTGGGAAGGTTCTGCTCTGATATGGGGTGTCTCCACAGAGTGCCCAAACACTGCCCCTTCCGTGCCTAAAATACATAAATAAAATACAGTACAATTACTTTGGAAAATAAAAACACATTGAAATGTATGACCACAAATTGACATTTTTAGGACAAAATATCTGATTGAATCCTTTATTAATGACTATCAATATTTCTTCATACTTATGTTTCAATTTCTATATCAAAATCATGTGAAACCATAGACTTTTGCTTATCAGTAGATGAATTTCACATACAAATCTGAAGACATTTCTAGATCTAAACTTTTCAGCACTGACTTGCCTAAATGCTCTTTTCAACACTTTGTAGGTGGATCACTTTACGGATAAGGAAGAGTTTCCTTCCATCAGACTTTTTGCATTGAAAGCCTTTGTTCTCAAATAAATTAAAGAGACTTATTTAGATTGTCCTTCGGTTTTAGTGTTGGTAGCGGATATTTCCTATCGGTCACCCAAAATCAAAGCAAAGAAAATGGGTAACTATTTCCTAAAGCTGAACTGACTGTCTAATGAATTTTAACTTCTATAACTGGGTCCAAGTTACATATTATAATTCTACATTTTGAATTACATGTCCAAGGTTTTTCACTGAAAAACTCATTTTCAATGAAAAAAATAGGGTTCTGATAAATGGTGACTGAAGTTATTTGAAAAATGACAAATATTTACACAATCCATTTTTTTAGATGAGATTAATTTTTAAGGAGAATGAAAAAAAAAGGCAAAAAAAACTATTAAGATCTGATTACAGCAAATTCTTTGTTAAAATAATAGAAAACTCAAGAAACTGACACGTAATGAACAGCACTATAAAATCAGTATTTCTTTGAACTCTCAGACACATATATAATATATAGCAACAGCCTACCGGTTTCATTAGGCATTCAAAAGCTTATGTCTTCTTTTTTTTTCTGAATCTTATCCTCATGTCTATTTTTGTTTACTGATTTTTCCAGTGCCATATTTTTTTCTTATTTACTCTAGCTTTTTTGTTTTTAAACAAGATCCATACACCTGTAAGCTTTTACTTTCCTTCCCTGAAGATGGTGTTCTGGGAACTCTGTAATGATAAATAGCCTAAACTATTGCATGAAAGACTTTCCAACAGAGAACCAACAGTAAACATGAAAGAACTGAATTAAAAGACATGTAAAACAGGTAATGCATTTGCTTTCTATCACTAGAAATAAGATCAAGGAAACTGTCTGGAATAACTAGAGCTGATTACTAAATATTCCATAATTAATTGTCATATTTCAACAACAGAATTTTTTTGTGTTCTGAGCCCTGAATTCTGAGAAAACTTAAATATATACCAACAATACCTCACAGTAGATGTGTAAGAAGTGCTCTACATAACAGAAGCACCACTCTTACAATATTTTAAATTCTTAATAGTATTTAATTTTCAATTATTTCTATATTTAAGTATTTCACAGGAATTTTGAGAACTTTTGGCTGTTAATGGAGGTGGATATTTAGACTTTTTTGCAATTAAGCAATAACATTTAGTAAACTGATCATACCAGGATTTGGCAGCAGAATGAGGCTATTGAGTGTTTAACTGACAATACTACTTTAAAGTGTTAAAGACAAAATGTCCTGAGCAAGAAGCCAAAAAAAATCTAATTAAATGTCAAACTAAACTACTGTCATCATTGTAAGTCATCTTCTAAACTCCACTTTCATTTAAAACAAACAAACAAACAACCCCCCTTCATTGCTCTACTGGTAAAGAGAATGCAAGAGAGGAATAGGGGATTTCTGAGAGTAATGAAGACAAGTCCTAGGTTTTTATCTGCAGAAATCTATAAGCTTTACAAATATCTTGGCAAAGCATCCAGAAAACAATTTCAGTACAACTGCTGCTTTGAAGATCTCACAAGAAAACAACCAAATCCACTTTCTGTAACCAAACTTTGCTGAGCATAATGGAGAACCATCGAGGGAGAAAGCAGTATATATTTTTATGTAAAAGTATCCAGAGAAACTGCAGAACCTGCTTTTTAAACCTCACATTGCCTTGCAATTCTGCTAACTTTGAGAGGAATAGCATGTCTCTATAGCCAGGCTTTCTGTCACTCAAAATAAATCTCACCCCCATCTATAATGGCACACAAGAAATTCTACTGGAGCTGAAAATCAGAAATCAAAGAGTGTGCTTCCAGATTCCGTTCACCTTCTTCAGTGGCAAAATTAAATGCTTTCTAGCCCTGGGGCTTTTTTTCATTTTTGAAGGTGGCAACGGAATATGAAGATGTAAATAACTAAGCAGCATGCAGAATTGTCAGACTTTGCTTATGAGAAGACCACAGCTGTAATATTTGAAAGTGCAGAATTAATGTAAAGGGGTATATGTACCCCTGTGGTATGGGTCAGACACTAAATCAATCAGAAGTGCCAAAGATAATATCAGGCAAAGACTGATAACAAAAGATAAATAGCAACTGGTTCTAGGCCAGCATTAGTGTTTCCTCACTTTCAGTAGGATTTGTTTAAAAGATGAAAAAGTGTTTCTCCCCCCTAAAGAATAGAAATTTAGAAAGAAAGACCAATTTGTCCAAGCAGACTGAAAATCCAGGCAGGCAGAGTTAAAGTGATATAACTAAATAAAATGTAATTAAAACTCAAACCAAATCAAACGTGTCCCTTTCTCTTTTTGAAGATACAAACCCACATATGGTAAGTATGCTTTATCCTCAAAAAATATGCTACCAACAAGTTCAAGAATATTCCCCATCCCTTGCATTTTAAACTAGAAGAAAAATAGGCACTTATAATTATCTTGGTTTTAGTAAGAAATGTGAAAAAGATCAGCCAGCTCAAATTTACTGATGTGTATCCAACAGTTAAACAGCAGGACCAAGAAAAATGGAAAGGGCTTGTATTGCAAATAAAAGACATGGATCAGCATTACTCAAAAATACAGAACAGAAGAAAAACTATTAGATATTCTTTATTTTTTTTAATTTAATATATGTAAATTTGTAGGGCTTTGATGGTGATGATGTTAGATCATGTAGCTCAGTGCTGCTTAGGAAATGGTGCTACAAACACTATGAATAATAAATATAACAATATAAATCAGGATTCAAAGTGAATAGCATGATTTTTTTAATGAAAGAAATAAACTTTAGGTAATTAATAATTTATAATGGTAAAACAACTTATTTTTTACAGAAACAAGACAATGATCTATTAATTGTATTCCCTGACATACAGAATTGTACTTAAGACCTACCTTGAGATGAGTGACATTCTAGAGAGGGATGAAGGAATAATAAAAAAAAAAAGAATAAAAAGAAAATACTTGAACCTTCAAGCCCTTTCAAGTAGAGCTCAAAAGGAAGTAGTTAGGGAACTGAATTCAAAGGAACGTGAGTTAGAATAGATAGCTATAACAAGTGAACCTTTCAGAGGAAATAAAATAGCAAGGGCATGGAGTATGTGCAAAGAATGTAAAATCAAAACTGTAAGTGAAACTGAATAAAATTACTCCCACCTCCAGCTTCCAGTGGAAGAGAATGAGTTAAGTAAGGACTTCACTAAGAAAGAAGCATCTGTGAAGGCAAACTACTGGTCAAAGAATACCAGTCGCTACAGAGCTTGCTAGTGAAAATTCGGGAAGTAGCACAAGCAAAAAGTCCAGTTGTGTATTTCTAGAGAAACCTCTTTATACCTATTTATAGACACCAGACCTTTAAAGCATACTTTTTGTGACAGAGAGCAAATCAAAGTGTCTCTTTCTCTACAAGCAAAATTAGTCACATGTTCCTGCTGAAACGGAATATTCAGAACTCATAGAGACAAGTGTAAACTACTCATTTCTTCTCCATTTACTGGTTACTGAAATTCAGCTTTTGGGAAACGACAAGTTTCATAAAAATTATGGAAGTACAACATTGGTGTTTGGTACTGGATTATATTTGCTTATGTATGTGCATGCTGAAGAAATTTTGTCATTTATTTAACCAGGAAACGATCTTTTCTTAATTTATGAGTTAGTTCACACAACAACACTGGCACCTTCCAATGACTTAATAACTGACTAACATCAAAAGACCAGTACCTGAGCATATTGATTAGTAGAGCTAATTGCTTTGCATAAGGAGAATGCTGGCTGAAGAGTTGACGAGCCAAGAATCAACAACTAATAAATTACTTTGCCGTATGAGCCATATATTAGCATTATCCCGCTCCTTCACATCATTCTTGTAAGCAAATCACCTCAAATGCACTGACAATGGAATTGTGTAGCATTTTGATGTGTACAAATTATATGACATCGCAGTGTCACACGCGCAGCTGAATCTTACTGCCTTGATCTTTCTCTAGGTTTTTCAGAAACATCAAGGAACAATACGATGAAGTAATAAGATTATGCAAGTATTAGACTGTAATGCCAATTTGTCCCCTAAGTTAGAGAGTTTAAAGTAGAGTTTGCAAAATATATATCACTTTTGAAGCTGGCAATTTTACTTGTTGCAAACTCATTATTAAGTTAAAGCCTCCACAGGTTTCACACAGAAATATGACTAATTAATCAAGATTGCTTTACCATTGAAGAGACCTTGAAAATATAGACTTTACATTATAAAAGTTTAATTGCAATAAAAAATCTTAATTCTTAATTCTTTTACCATATATACATAGCTAAAATTTAAAAATGCCTTTGTGAGATTAACTAGCTGTTTTTCAGCACTAAGACCTTGGAAGAGCTGATTAGTGCTAGACCGAAAAAAACCCAGACATATTCAACTAATAATCTAAAAAGACCACAGAAAATGTTTGTTTCTTCTTTTTTTAAAAGCCCAGTTATTATAATTTAACTTGGGCTGATTAAAAACCTAAAGGAGTCAGAAGGCAGCTTCTGTACCACATGTTGATTGTGCAGCTCTTCAAGACATTCAATTTTAATAAATGGCTTGAAATGTAATTTAGCTAGGTACTTGTATTTTAAAAAGCATGATGAAACTGCGTTTTTGCTATGGAGAGGTACATTACTAAAATAAAAATAAGTAGATT